TCCTCACTCTCAGAACTTGACACTCATAGAACGACTGCAGCACTACATCAAAGATATAGTCTCGTTAAGTACTGAAACTGAAATGTTGAATCGACTATGCAAAAATAACCATTGTCTGCTGATAATTGAGCCTCACTGTCTCAATGTCTTATTATACTCTTTCTCAGTCCTCTATGATCGTTCTCTTACTTGGATGGTTGACTTCTCTTCCCTCTCTTTGGAGTCACTGTAGTGATGAAATCAAGGTCTCTAAAGATGAACTTACGAAGTCTTGACCCTGATACCATGTCATGAACCCTGGATCCATCCATTTATGAGATCTCATAAACCTTGCCTTCTGCTTCTCCTATGATTCTGTAAGGACCAAGCCATCAAGGCTCCAATCTTTTAGTCCATTGTGTCTCAAAAGAGCTGTCAAACAAAAGAACAACATCTCCGATCTTCAATTTCTCTTTTCTTATGTATCTTTTTTTGTTCCATCTTTCTTGATCCGATAGTCTGCTGGATGCCATTCTCTCTGTTGCATCCATCACTGCCTGATCAACTTCAGATATCTGCTTCATTCTGATCTGAAGGAGTTCTGAAATAGAATAATTTCTGTCACTTTCTTGACTTGACCATGTCTTGACAATACTCTCAATAGGCAATGCAGCATATCCGTCGTACCACAGAGTAAAAGGTGCATAACCAGTAGTCCTCTTGACTGTGATATTATCAACATATACAGCAACTCTTAACTCCTTTGGCCAGTTACTGAGTTTCCCTTCACACCACTTGGCCAATGAAATCTTTCACAGTTTTGTGGTCTCTTTCAACAGGGGCATTCGCTTGAGGATGGTAAGTAGTCACATACCGAATTCTGACACTCAATCTGAGTGTAATTCTTCTGACGACCTCATTTCTGAATTCTCATCCCTCTGTCTGAGACAAATTCTCTGATAAAAGGATACCTGAGATAGACTTCCTCTATCCAATCAGCCACTTGCTCGGCTGTCTTCCTTTTCAGAGTTTTTGCCTCAACGTATCCAGAGAAATTATCTCTCATGTTTAATATGTATCTCATCCTACCCTTGCCTGGAGGCATAGTGATGAGATCCAGATGAACTCTACTACCCGGCTCTACCAAGATTGTAGGGAATAGGGGCTCAATCATCCTTGTGGTGGACCTCTTCTGATATAAGACACATGATTTACAGTATCTGAAAATCATGTCTCTCATGCCAGACCAGAAGGAGAGTTTGACAGTCTTGGAGTAGGTAGCTTCAGCAGCCCTGTGGCCACCGGCAACCCCCTCATGTAGAGCATCGATTATCTCTAACTGCCTCTCTTTACCACAGACCACTCTTAGTGGAGGTAAGCCTCCCTTACCATCCACAAAGAGATGTCCTCTCTTTAGTCTGAATTTCTTTCTTGAATCTTTACAATAATATTATTTTAGTTATTCCTTTTCCATCTTTCTGCTAATCTCTTGATAATTTTCATCATACTCTTCAAAGAAGAAAAGTATCTCTTCTTCATTTTTCTCACTCTCTTCTTCTTCCTTTGAACCTGAACTTTCCCCAATCTCATGAGCGGCCACTGCAGCTGCATTAACTCTGGCATACCAATCGTTCGGTTCATCTTCTTCTTCTTTCCCAAGAATCGATTCGTAAATGTACGCAGTAGGGATTTCTCCCCAGCTGTCTCTTTCCTCTGGCCATGGATTCCACCTGTAGGAGCATGGCACCTCACAGTCCTTATCATCTTTCTCATTAAGAAAATTATCAACATAGGCAGATTCTTCAATCGTTTCATTCACATCTTCTTCTTCTTCCTCTCGCCACTCAATCCGGCTTAAGCCATCCGGTCTGTTTTTCTCAGTGGGGATTTTTTCTAGCTTAAAATCATATGTCCAGATGAAGGCGATCTATCTGCTGACTGTTGGATCTACCTGTTGGTGCTTTTTAATGGCACCAATCACAGCAGATGCATCAGTCCTCAGGATGAATCTCCTTCCCAAGACGTAATGCCTGAAGCCCCTGAGGCTATGGATGATTGACAGTAGCTCTTTCCTGAAATGGGTGTAGCCTCTTTCAGTAGAATTGAGGGTTCTGCTTTCAAATCTTAGAGGTCTTTCTCTCCCATTTTCGTCTTTTTGAATAAGTACTCCACCCAGCGCAGCTGGTCCTCCATCCGCCTCAATAATGAAAGGTTTTGTCTCCTCATCATCATAATATGGTACTCCCAGCACTACACCACCGTCTCTTAGTTTCTCTTGCAATGTTTTTGCTGCAGCTTGTCTTTTATCATTCCATGCTAAGTTAGCCCCTTGTCTTACCATTTCTCTCAGAGGCACTGCAAGGGCAACAAAATGAGGAATAAAAATCCTCCAGAATCCACAGACTCCCAAGAAGCTCCTAACATCTGTCACTCTTTTGAGAGGCAGAGGCCAGCTCAAGATCTTGTCAATCTTCTTGGGATCTGGGCTCCTACCCTTGGAGAAGCATCTGAAGCCCAAGATTATCACTTCTGGTTGGAAGAGAAGAGAGTTTGGCCCACTGGGAGTCAGATTATACTTCCGAAGTCTTTCTAGGACCATCTTTACTCCTTCACCATGTTCCCAGATAAACTTTCTGACTCCCCATGCGACCAAAGTCTCATCTCTTACCAAGAGTCATTTTACAGGATTATCATCAATGTAGGGACTGATTATTTCAGGAGAAATATCCTGCATGACTTTGATCATATCCCTCTGAACCATTGCCACTCTGTTAGTCCTGCCCTGAGGTACCACACACATCTGATCAAGTCCCCTCGGCGTGTGTATGGCAGTCAAGGGTCGGCTAGTGGGATCAATAGGGAACTGATCATAGCCAGAATACAGGTCAACTAGGGAATAAATACATCGACCAACAAATGATTCAGCGAGGAGGTCAGCATTAGGAAGACTACCTGCATCACGTACCGTCACAGAATTGAGTTTCTAAATATTCTGTATCTATCTTAGCCCGCCCCCTGGTTTCCAAAAACAAAACCAGTGGTTAGCATATGGTCCATCAACAGATTCAGCAACATTGGATGCAATCTTCTTGTCAAGGTACTTTACTACTTCCGCTTCTTCCTTTAGGGCATACTTGGTTGGTCTATCATTCCATGGAACATGATCAACTGTCCAAATCTTGGCCATCTTGATCATGTCCACGTCCAACCGCCCCCTCGTCTCATCATTAAAGGAGAAAGCACCAGAGAATTCCTGACACATCCTGAAGATATATTCTTTCTCTTTAGGCAGGATAAACTGATCTGAGCCTATCTTCATTGTGTCAAACCTCTCTTTGTTGACCCTATTCTCCAGTTTTGCTGACTCCCTCAATGCTCTTATAATTTGCCTTTCCTTTTCCAATGCTTCATAATAATCTTTCTCTATTAGGACTGCCACTGGGTTTTTCTTCACCCCCTTGGGCTTGTATTTTCTTTTTGACCCAGTGGCTATTTCCCTAAAAAAGGGTGAGTCGATGCAAATCTCAATTCTATCTTTCCTCCCTTAGCAATCTCTACAGCTTTCTTGAAGGCTTCAATTTGCCCGTCCTCATCCTCGGGATCATTTTCGAAACTTGATTGATTCCCACCGAAATCTCTTCTTTTGCTTCTTGTTTTCCTTCCTCCTTTGGTCTCCTAACCCTTTCAGCAGATTCCTCCCTCCTGATCGAATTAGCAGATAGTTGATGCTTGAAGTCATTTTTCGTACGGACCATAAAGGTCTGCTCTCGAGCAATCTCGGGATCTTGTAGACTGATCCAAGATGACCCCTCATGACTGAAAAAGTGGACCGCCTCCATCCTATGCAAGAATGGAGTTCCCAAGATACAGTCATCATCCAAATCCGGTACTACAAAACCCAGTAACTCCACAACCATTGTCCCAACCTTGATAGGCAAATTATCAATGAATCCTGCCACGAAGAACTCTCCTGCAATATTATTAGGGCTAGAATCTTCACTTGATTAATGCGAATTGTAAGATGCCCACAACCCATGGCTGCAAATCTCATCTTGCAACCTTGCAGTGATCTATTCACTTGGTTGGGAAAGACTGACCCCAAATAATTAACTTCCATTTTTTTCTTCTCAATTAACCTTTTCAACTCTTCTCTCAGTTTGGGTGCTAGCATCGTTGCTTCCTTGAAAGATAGTGTCACTTCCGTTTCGTCCAACATCTTAGCAGTTACATTAGAAATCACAGTTTCATCATCCAAATCACTCTTGAGAATAAATTTTCTCTTTCTCCCTTGTTCATTCTTTTCCTTTGAACGTTCCGGTTCAGGATCATCAAGTATGTCGATCAGTGATTCCTCAGCCTTCTTTCTTTTCTTTTCTTCTATCATTTGAGGTGTCATACGGGTTTGGTGGTTCCTTACTTCACCAACCCTGACACTGGGTTCCATGATAAGCTCTGGGGGTAGATCACCATGGAACGACATCATGTTAGCCAGAAGATTAGTCATTTCATTGGAAGAGGACTCTACTAATCCAGAAGGATTCTGAAAAGTAGGGTCCCCTCCCAATGGAGACTCACTCATTGATGCCTCACTAGGCTCACACTCTGTCAGTGTTAAGGACTGCAGAGACAACTCAATTATGGCATAAGGGTCGTCTGCTCTTTGTACCAGTTCATTAGGCACGTCTCTTGTGAGGAAATGAACATTCACATTGGCCTTTCTCTTCTTCTTAATCTTTATATTTTCATCATGTTTAAGAGCAAGAAGTCTCATACCTTCCGGATGTCTGGGATTCAGCTTATTCCATGAACTATCACAGACATGGCCCATCGCATCTTTCTTTGCTACCCCACTCCTTACATCCTCCTCAAGAGGCTTGCAATAGGTGGTAGTATGTTCACTTTCGCCACAATAATAGCGAGTAAAACTTTCTTAGGACGCTCATCATATTTTCTTCTCTCTCTGTTTCCTCTGTCACAATTCTTCCCATTCCTTTTGGCTCTGGACGAATCCCCCTTCTTACCATGATTTTCGTTGTCATCATCATCGTCGTCATCTTCCTCACTTTCAACCTTTTTCTTTCCCCTGTCATCCACAGCATGCGTTGCAGGCCTTGCAGGCATAAAGTTAGCCATCATTTTTTGAAGAATGTTCTAAGCAGTCAGATTGCTTCCTCTATTCATACCATTCTCAGTCTCCCAATCCTTGGCCAAAGTACTGATCTGATCCAGTGACCATTTCTTATGGGAGACAGTAGGTAGAGTTTTTATGATTGCAACCATTTCATCCCATCTGAGAGGATAGTGTTGAGCTCGATTAAAGACTACTTGCCTTTCATTGTCAGTAAAATTTGTCAAAAATATATGGCATCTCTGCGCTTCATCCAAATATGAAATTCTTCTTGTTGTTCGGATAAAGGTCTGAAGAAAAACATTGAAAGTGTCATATTTAGCTCTTCTGATGTTCAGTAAGTCTTTAGTTGTGGTTGGAACTGAATCTTTCTCAAATTCCTTTTTCAGTCTCTCCTTGACCTCTTCCCATGTAGTGGCACCTTCCATTAGTTCCTTAACGGCCAGTCTTGAGTCAGTATCACAATAAGATAGGAGGTGCTTAAGTCGTTGCTCATCTGCCACAACTGAGTCCAAATAACTCATACTCGTCCAGGAAGTCATTAACTTGGGGTCCTCTGAAGCAGGGAATTTTCTCATCTGGCCTCTTTGCTCTTGCGATATCCGACCCTCCTTTGATTGTATCAACCCTCTCGACCAGTTCCCGTATAACCCCAACCAAAGCCTCTTCATTGGTCCCTGCTGATGTACTCGGTATCGCTCGCCCTGCCATCTTGACCATAGACTTTTTCCAGATACTCTCTTCTCTCCCTCTATCACTCTTGCCCTCTCCTTCTTTGCCCCTCAGTCTCTCACTCTTCTAGCAAGGGATAGAGGCTCGTTTCTTTCTTCTTTTGTCTGCTCTACCCCTTGAGAATAGAATATAAGCAATAATGGATTGGGTAGTAATCAAGGGCAGTGCGATCCTTCTCAGCCTCCCAATATAATCTTCAATCAACTCTCTCTCATCATCCCTACTCAGTCTTCTGTCATATCCCTTTATAGTACCCCGAATCATAAAATATCGAGTCGGGTTTAAAATCTCATAATCAAATTGCATCGTTTACAACCCACTGTTGATCCTTCTTGCAAGAGAAACCCATTCTTGAAATGTGTGATATAATACTCTCTCAGTAGTTCCAACTTTCACCACCTTTAACAGATAGCTTATCTCAGTCTGGTCAGTGATAATTCTCAAAGAAGAATCTCTCATGCGATCTAAGAAAGGTTGTAAAAACTCATATTCATCCAGGGTAGAAAGATTTCTGTCAGAGATCCGAAGAGTCCCCTCTACTTTGACTACTCTACCTTCCAACACAAACCCCAGTGTCAGTTGTCTTGTCAGGCTGGGCATTGTTAAGCATCATCAACAATATCTGAAAGGTAGATCTCAGGTTGGACATAATCAGGGGTCTCGAATCTGTGTTCAAAGGTACTCTGGAGTAGGGATTTTATCATCACAATGGAATATTTTTCTCTTGCTCTACCAATCTCAGCAATGGCTTCCAACAGAGGCATCCAATCTCTCCTGCCTTCAAATCCCTTATAGCAATTCAGAACTCAGGAAACCTCTCAAATTGTCTCACTTCTTTCCCCCCGGTTACTTTTCTTTTTAGCTTCTCAAGCCACTCTTTCGTTTTTATGAGACTAATATAAGCACATGTCTGACACTTCAAGTAGTCATCTTCCTTTTCTAGACCTGCCGGTACATAAATCCTTACGTCTAGGCTGCCAGTACTCAGGAATTTGACCACTGGAATGTGAAATATTATGGGCCCTCTCTCGCAAGTCTCATATCTCAGGATVACAAAAGGATTATCACACCCTATCACCTCATAGAGTTTACCCTTCACAGTAGTTATCTTGGCTACTGAGAGTATTCTTCTTGGGCTCTCTTCACTTTCCATGCAAACTTTATCATGACATACCAATTGTGTCTTGGGAATGCGAATCCCTCAACAAGTGGAGACGGAATTCCAACAAAAGGTCTGACATAGGTGCTAAAGGGGAAATTTATTCCCTCTCGCTCTAATCTTCTCTTCTCATCATGCACAAGATTCGATGCTCGTTGCCAACACGCACCTTTTCGGCTTTCATCAAATCTTTGCTTCGGCACATAAATCCCAATATCATATTCATCAAGATCAATAAAATAGCATGTAAGAACATACAGACTGTCTTGTTCTTTTCCTGACCTCTTTATGGCTTCATACCTCACGATTTCATAAGGAATTACAGCCTTACATGCTATAGAATTAAGAGAATTCAACAGCTTGTTTGACTCAGCCTTACTCAGCCCTTCATGGCCTCTTATCAGTCTAAGCTTAGATTTCTCCCTCAAGGGTACATAACGTCGACCCATCAGACTCTTTGACCTCTTTTCACTTTCTGGGCAAACTCAATCACCGCAAACCAATCATCTTTTGATCAATTTATATCAGGTAAAGGAGGAGCTGGAAATCCCTTGAAGGCAGTAAACCGAGCAGATCCAGTGAAACACTTGTTCTCTCTCTCAAACCTCCTCTCCAGTCAACAATACCTCATTTTCCCGATCCAATGTGATACCTCACACAAGGGAAAAATAAATCACAGTTAGCAGTCGTGATTCTCAAGAAAATCGGGACTTGAATGAGAATAAATAAAATTAACATGAAGCTCACAAAAATGTCAACAGTTCTCATGTCCTAATCAAGGCTCAAAGATGATGATGACCCTGGCTCGTTCCGGACACGAAAATCTTTTTATGTCCCCGGCAACGGCGCCATTTTTGTCGCACTTTTTCCAGTCGGTCCACTTCGGGCGATCGGAAAGTCAACAGGCTGTCACGCAGGATTTTGTATGTGATTGCAATAAATAAAATAAATTAAATAATGCAAATCCCTTCCTGTTGTGTGCGTCCGGCTTCAAGCGAGACCCTTCAATTGCGGTCTGATTTTGAGAACTCCGCCAAAACATCCATGAAGGCAATCATCAGGCAAGAATAATGCAAAAAATAAGACTGACTGACTCGAGCAAAGACAGGGGCAATCAAATGAGGGAGGAATGAGAACTCATAATAATCTCAGAAAGTACACATAAACGAGAGTAGTCAGCACCTCTCAAGAGTCCTCACTCGTCCCTCTAGTCAGTCTCTCTCTTTCTCTCTTTTCTCCGATCTTCTCTGATGCTGTGACCCACACCCACGTACAATCTGAGACTGAGGCTTCGTGACAAAATGCCACCTGTAGCCAGCAAGCTCTGAGCATGACTATCCGAGACACATGACACGGTAGTTGACCATGGAGCAAAAATCCTCCCACAAAGTAGGCAGTCCGTCCACTGAGAAGACTCCTTGTCTGAGGTAGGGATACTAGGTGCGCTCGGTCAACGCCTCAACGTCGATCACTGCACGAGAGATTTTGCCAAACCAATCACTTTCAGCCAACTCGTGCCATCAGTGAGAAGAGAAGGGACTGGAGGCCTAGGATAGTCGGTATAAAGCATCGGCCCGAAGTTGCGGATCAACGTAGTGCCACTCTCATCGAGCTCCCTCTCTCTCTGCTCAAGGTATTCGGTGGCTGAGATCCAGACTGAATCGAAAAGTTCATAAGTCTCCTTGCCCTTCTTCAGGTAAGGTCTCAGATCATGGATAGTGCTATCAGCAAAGCTGTTGCTGAGTGTCCAGGTAGGTGAGTTGTTCTTGTTCAGAAACAGAACGCTCACTGGTGGCTGCTAACAGTCCTCCTTGCTTCCTCAATAGTGCCGACTGAAGTTATGGTGGCTTCTTACAGCATTGCCAGGGCGTAGTCATCGAGTGGGAGAGAACGTTTTACTAAAACGAAGGTAGTAGCCAGCACCAACCGTGTTCATCCCCATAATGCGCACTAACGCACATCAAGAAGAGAACAGTGACGCAGTCCTTCCGACCTCTTACATCTCCCTCCCTCTCTCGTGACTCTAAACACCGTGCACGTGTCAAGCGAACTCGTGTAACCACCTCTTGCCGTCCCTAGCCACTTTTCCCTTGGTCACCTGCCACGCGTTCATACCGCTCAAGAAAAGTAAGAAGTCAGTCTTCCCCGTCGGCTTCCTTCCGAGCGAATCCGTCTCGCCCTCGTTCCTCCGCACTCTCCATACCAGAAAAAAAAAAACAGCAGCTAGCATCAACGACGTTGCGAGACGTTCACGCCCCTCTCTCTCTCACATGCGTTGACCTCTGAGTACCCCCGCCCCTTCATCATTTCTCTGCCGCCACGTGTCGGACGAGTTCCCGAGAGCGTCCGTCCCACTACGCTCGCCTCTCTGGGTTGCCATGAGTAGACTGTGTACCGCTCGCATCCCAACCACTCACTCCCCTCATGCACTTGCACCGAACAAGAGAGAAAGCGTTCCTAAAACAACTCACTCTGGCAACAAGCACAAGAAGATACGGTGACTGATCACTCGCAGAGCGACAAGAAAAAGGAAACAAAAGAAAACTCTTGAGGCAGGTCACTTCTGGCATAGCACTCAAACTTGCCGCAGCTCAACAGACACTGGACGACTTGAGCAAAAGGGGGCAGTGGTTGACGTCAGCCATATCCACCGAAAACATGCGCTGGTCACCCGCGCTGCTTCACCTCTCGTTGTCCTCTGGCCGCCGGACCTTCACACTCGTCCTTTCCCTCTGCCTCGTTCCTCTCCCGTCCCGCGGCCTCTGGGCGCCAGTTGTCGAGAGCTGGCCTACCAGTAGGGCTAAGCCCAAGCCTGAACTGGCGGTGTGCAACCCTGTATGTGAATGGTACGGTCGGCCAGCCTGGGCCTGCAGACGGTGCACCAGGCCGTTTCTTGGCCCGTCCCTTAGAGCCATGGCCCCGCACGCGTGCTATGCTAGCTTGGGGCAGACTTTTACTCGGCCCGCTGTGCACATAGTCCCGCATTGTCGCAGCCAACCGCCGATGCTTCCCCCACGCTGCCTCTTTCTTTGAAAGGCCACCCTTTTACCGTCTCCACCCCGGA